TGCAGAAAACCATCATTGACACCCTCCATAAGGTCACTAAGCCTGGTTTTATTTGTGGCTGTTATCTATGTATCATATTTCCCCAGCGATGATTTACAATTACTACACTATTAGTGTTTTTGCTATTTTATCTCTTTTGAGTACATAGGGTGGGGGTTCCCAAAAGGTAGATCTCAAGATGTTTTAACACTACAGCTTTCATGATGCTTTGTCATTGTAAAGGCATTCTAGAGGCATGCAAAGCAACAACAGAGTTGTAATTCTACAACATCTGGGGATCTACCTTTTGGGCACCCCTACTCACCATATACCATATAGGAGAACTGCATCTATTTTTTGTATTTTTTTTAATTAGCACATGAATAGAACTAACAGACTCTACTGCTGACCTAGGAATTTATTTATCTTAATATTTATTTTTAGGGGTGTATGCTCATTTTTGAGTATTATTTCCCAAGTTTTACTCAGAGATAATTTCTGTTAATATTTTATTATCTGACTTATTATGTTATAAGCATGTATGCATGTATATAGTAGTCAAAACTCGTAAAGAGGCCATGCTAGATTTAGTCAACTCGTTAAGAGGTCATACTAGATTTAGTGTTAACAAATTGAGATTTGGTATCAGATATTACTGTAGGTGAAAGTTTAGGATCCAGTGATCATCAGTCAGTGTGGTTTAATATAAGTACAGTGACTGAGTCACACCACACAAAACAAAAGTTTTAGACTTTAGAAAAACAGACTTTTCTAAAATTAGAATATGTGTAAAGGAGTCATTATCAGACTGGAGCAATTTAAATGTAGTCCAAGAGAAATGGGATTATTTAAAAGTCGCACTGCCGAAGGGAACAGAAATTTGCATTAGGCTTGTCAGTAAAAGCAAATAATTCAAGAAACCACTGTGGTACTCTGCAGATGTGGCCAAAATAGTAAAAAACTAAGTTAGCATTTAGTAATTATAAAAAAAAAAAAAGAGTGTGAGGAAGACAGCATGATCTATAAGATTATGCAGAAAGAGGCTGAACAAGTTAAGAGAGCTTCCAAATCACACACAGAAGAGAAAATAGCACAGTCAGTAAAAGAAAAAGAGGACAAAACATTTTTTAGCAATGATTAGTTAGATTAAAAACAAAAAAACAAGGATTAGTTAGATTAAAAACAAAAGAAGGAAGGTATGTAGAAGAGGATAAAGGTTTAGCTGACTGCCTCAATGAATATTGTTGTTCAGTATTTACAGATGAAAATTAAGGAAAGGGGCCTCAGGAAAAAGTGCAAATGAGTCATTTGTTACATGTGAGTTTACAGAGGAAGAGGTTCTATTTCAACTGTCAAAAGTAAAGACAAATAAGTCAATGGGACCCTAATGAAATACACCCAAAGTTATTAAAATAGCTTAGTGCTGTACTAGCAAAACCATTAATAGATTTATTTAACAAATCATTGTTAACAGGAGTAGTTCCAGAAGATTGGAAGTTAGCAAATGTTGTGCCCATTCACAAGAAAGGTAGTAGGGAGGAGTCGGGCAACTATCAGCCTGTAAGCCTTACTTCAGTTGTGGGGAAAGTAATGGAAACCATGTTAAAGGATAGGATTGTTGAACATGTAAAATCACATGGATTTCAAGATCAGAGACAACATGGGTTTACTTCAGGGAGATCATGCCAAACTAATCTTATTGATTTTTTTGATTGTGTAACTAAAATAATAGATCAGTGTGCTGCAGTAGACATTGCTTACCTAGATTTCAGTAAGGCTTTTGACACTGTTGCACATAGAAGGCTTATCAAGGCTTATCAGCAGTGGCTGAGTGACAGGCATCAGAGGGTTGTAGTCAATGGAGTATATTCGAAGCATGGACTTGTCACCAGTGGGGTACCTCAGGGATCTGTACTTGGACACATTCTCTTTAATATTTTTATTAGTGATATTGCAGAAGGTCTTGATGGTAAGGTATGTCTTTTTGCTGATATTAAGATATGTAACAGGGTTGATGTTCCAGGCAGGATAAACCAAATGGCAAAGGATTTAGGTAAACTAGAAATATAGACAGAGTTGTGGCAACTGACATTTAATGTTGATAAGTGCAAGATAATACATCTTGGACGTAAAAACCCAAGGGCAGAGAACAGAATATTTGATAGAGTCCTAACCTCAACATCTGAGGAAAGGGATTTAGGGGTGATTATTTCTGATGACTTAAAGGTAGGCAGACAATGTAATAGAGCAGCAGGAAATGCTAGCAGAATTCTTGGTTGTGTAGGGAGAGGTATTAGCAGTAGAAAGAGGGAAGTGCTCATGCCATTGTACAGAACACTGGTGAGACCTCATTTAGAGTATTGTACACAGTACTGGAGACCGTATCTCCAGAAGAATATTGATACTTTAGAGAGAGTTCAGAGAAGGGCTACTAAACTGGTTCATGGTTTGCAGGATAAAATTTACAAGGAAGGGTTAAAGGATCTTAACATGTATAGCTTGGAGGAAAGACGAGACAGGGGCGATATGATAGAAACATTTAAATACATAAAGGGAATCAACACAGTAAAGGAGGAGACTATATTTAAAAGAAGAAAAACTACCTCAACAAGAGGACATAGTCTTAAATTAGGGACAAAGGTTTAAAAATAATATCAGGAAGTATTACTTTTATGAAACCAGGGGATGCACTCACCTGAACATGCATAAATGGGGTGCTGCTGGGGGCCAACTTATACAATACACAAGATCCAGCGCACTCACCTATCCACTAAACAGCATCTTCAATGTTGACGTATTTTTAAAAAAAAAATTTTAAACACCTAATCTAGGCAAAAGTAATGGGGGTTTAGTTACATCATATGATCATACATTGCATAAGCCTGCCACAACGTCAATGTACCCCATCTCTGGCAGGTCCTAATCAAACAGCCTAGTGTCTGCTCTCATGAGATTAAACCACTTACTTGGGGGAAAAGATTCCATCTTACTTTACTGAGAGGGTAGTGGATGCATGGAATAGATTTCCAGCTGAAGTGGTAGAGGTTAACACAGTAAAAGAGTTTAAGCATGTGTGTAATAGACATAAGACTACCCTAACTATAAAAGAAGGCCAGTGACTAATGAAAGTATTTAGAAAATTGGGCAGACTAGATGGGCCGAATGGTTTTTATCTGCCGTCACATTCTATGTTTCTATGTCATATGGCTGAAACCAATTTATCTTTCACAATTTTATTCCTAGTTCCCTAAAGGACTGTCTCTAGAAAAATACTCCTACCTTTTTGCACATATCTTGGGTCACAATCTAGGAATGTTGCATGACAACTTCAGGGAATGTAAATGTCCAACTCCTGTTTGCATAATGGACACGCAGATGATGTAAGTTTCAATTTACAGGTTATGTATATTACCTGTTTATGTTAAAAAGGAATAGTCTGCAGCCAAATGGATTGCTGTCCATGTCATAAAGGAGAAATACATTTTCAGGGTTATTCAGTAAATTGAGCATTGTCAGGAGTTCAAAGGGGATTTAAAATTTTAGGTCATTATAGCTGAACTTGAAAATTCTCCATGTCAGCTATACTTCCAGTTTGTGCTACTTCATAATTTTGAAACTCACTTTAAATTCCCAACAGATCTCACTTTAGTGCATAACAGTGGCGTCTCTAGGATTCATTTTTAGGGGGGGGGGGCACATGGTGGGCCAGGGACTAAAGTAGGGGGGCACATTTAACCCCGCCCTCACAGCAGTTTGACCTTGCCCCTGCTGCATGTTAAGCCCCGCCCCCTGACACAATGTGTTTGTTGTTGTTTTTTAATAATCACACACAGAGACTGCTGAGTCCTTACACAAAGAGACACACAGACTGCTGACCATACACACACACACACACATACTGCTGAGTCCATACAAATACAGACACATAGACTGCTGAGTCCACACACACACACAGACTTCTGAGTCCATACACACAGACTGCTGAGTTCATACACACACACAAAGACTGCTGAGTCCATACACACAGACACAAACACACACTGCTGAGTCCACACACACACACAGACTGCTGAGTCCATACACACACATACACAGACTGCTGAGTCCTTACACAGACTGCTGAGTCCATACACACACAGACTGCTGAGTCCATACACACAGACTGCTGAGTCCATACACACACAGACTGCTGAGTCCATACACACACAGACACTGAGTCCACAGACACACAGCCTGCTGAGTCCATACACACACAAACACAGACTGCTGAGTCCATACACACATACAGACTGCTGAGTCCATACACACAGACAGACTGCTGAGTCCATACACACACTGCTGAGTTCATACACACATACAGACTGCTGAGTCCATACACACACACTGCTGAGTTCATAAACACACACTGCTGAGTTCATACACACATGCAGACTGCTGAGTCCATACACACAGACAGAGTGCTGAGTCCATACACACACAGACAGACTGCTGAGTCCATACACACACACACATACAGACTGCTGAGTCCAAACACACACACAGACTGTTGAGTCAACACACACACAAACACACACAGAGACTGCTGAGTCAATAAACACACACACAAACTGCTGAGTCCATACACACACACACATACAGACTGCTGAGTCCAAACACACACACAGACTGTTGAGTCAACACACACACAAACACACACAGAGATTGCTGAGTTCATACACACATTCACACACAAACACAGACTGCTGAGTATACACACATACAGACTGCTGAGTCCATACACACACACTGCTGAGTTCATACACACATACAGACTGCTGAGTCCATACACACATGCAGACTGCTGAGTCCATACACACACACACTGCTGAGTTCATACACACATACAGACTGCTGAGTCCATACACACATACAGACTGCTGAGTCCATACACACAAACAGACTGCTGAGTCCAGACAGACTGCTGAGTCCATACACACACACACACTGCTGAGTTCATACACACATACAGACTGCTGAGTCCACACACACACAGTGCTGAGTCCATACACACATACAGACTGCTGAGTCCATACACACAGACAGACTGCTGAGTCTATACACACACAGTGCTGAGTCCATACACACAGACAGACTGCTGAGTCCATACACACAGACAGACTGCTGAGTCAATACACACACACTGCTGAGTTTATACACACACACATTGCTGAGACCATACACACACACTGCTGAGTCCATACAGACATTCAGACTGCTGAGTCCATACACACACTGCTGAGTCCATACACACAGACAGACTGCTGAGTCCATACACACATACAGACTGCTGAGTCCATACACACACAGTGTTGAGTCCATACACACAGTGCTGAGTTCATACACACAGGCAGACTTCTGAGTCCATACACACACAATGCTGAGTTCACACTGCTGAGTCCATACACACACAGTGCTGAGTTCACACTGCTGAGTTCACACACAGTGCTGAGTCCATACACACACAGTGCTGAGTTCACACTGCTGAGTCCATACACATACAGACTGCTGAGTCCATACACAGAGACAGACTGCTGAGTCCATACACAGAGACAGACTGCTGAGTTCATACACACATACAGACTGCTGAGTCCATACACACATACAGACTACTGAGTCCATACACACATACAGACTACTGAGTCCATACACACACACTGCTGAGTTCATACACACATACAGACTGCTGAGTCCATACACACATACAGACTACTGAGTCCATACACACATACAGACTGCTGAGTCCATACACACAGACAGACTGCTGAGTCCATACACACACAGTGCTGAGTCCATACACACACACTGCTGAGTTCATACACACATACAGACTGCTGAGTCCATACACACACAGTGCTGAGTCCATACACACACACTGCTGAGTTCATACACATACAGACTGCTGAGTCCATACACACACAGTGCTGAGTCCATACACACATATAGACTGCTGAGTCCATACACACATACAGACTGCTGAGTCCATACACACACAGTGCTGAGTTCATACACACACAGTGCTGAGTCCATACACACACACAGACACACACACACACACACACACACAAGCTTCCTCACTAGCAGACAGACAGACACACACACACAAGCTTCCTCACTAGCAGACAGACACATACACACACACCTGAGCATATCAAGCCTACCTGTTGCTGGGGGTCAGACAGCCATCTTCTTGCCTTTCCAGCAGCAGCATGGTCTGCTGCTTAACGGCGGGGGTGGGGCTTATGTGCAGGAGGCAGGGCTTCATTTGGGGGCGGGTCCTGTGCCAGGGAGCCTGTCAGTGCTCCCTCCGGCCACAGACAGCTCCCAGCACCATTCCAGCTGAGCTGCTCTGCCCTGCATTCCCTCCCCCGGGCTGTAACACACTGTTACAGCCTGAGGGAATAGAATGTAAGAACATGTTGCTGGCATTTGGGGGGGCCCAAGGGGGGACACAACATGATGTGGGGGGGTCATGGCCCCCTCTATCCCCCCCTCCCCCCCAGTGATGCCACTGGTGCATAAGTCTATTTATCTTCAAAAGCTTTCTGTGAACTTTTAACATGTACACAGTGTACAACATGAACGTGATATGAAAAAAATCAGTAATAGTGTGTAAAGCCTGGCTATATTAGATATAAGCTATACAAATTAAAAGTAAAAAAAAAAATACTTCATAGAACAAAATGAGAAAACACAGAATTTCCAGAGCAATACAGTTGCTCTGATTTTAAATGCTTGATGGTGAATAATCTCAGTGGGAGGTGCTAAATCCACTTATAGATGCTGGAAAACCTACACCGTTATAAACAGGTTTGTGTTTAAAGGGACACTATAGGCACCCAGACCACTTCAGATCATTGAAGTTGTCTGGGTGCAGTTTCCCAGATCCCTTAACCCTGCAAAGCTAATTATTGCAGTTTTTAATAAACTACAATAATTACCTGCTAGGGTTAACTCCACCTCTAGTGGCGGTCTACCAGAGAGCCACAGGAGTGACTTACGGGTTGAACTGACACTGGATGTCCTCGTGCTATGCATGAGAACTTCCAATGTCCCCTATAGGGGAAGTACTAATTCCAGCGTAGCTATTTGCTCGCATGCGCATTAGCGCCAAGCCAGCAGGGGAGGAGCAGAGGCATAGCCCGAACCAGTGTCAAGGGATATCGCCACTGGACTCAGCTAAGCTACAGAAAGCATCTTTAACCCTTTTTGCACCATTTTGATTTCAACTTTATAAATGTTCGTATTGTATAGATCTTGCAGTGGATAATGTGCCCTGTAAAATGTATATTCTTGTACAAATTCATATTTGAAAACTCTAATTATAGATTGTGCAGATTATTTTGGCTAAATGTTGTTTATTTTGTTATAGGGCTTTTACTGATGTGAAAAGCTTTAGCAGTTGCAGTATCAAGGATTTTGAAGCATTAGTTATGAAAACTGGTGCCAATTGCCTTGTGCCACTACCACATAAAAAGTCATTTGCTGACCCTTCAGTGTGTGGTAACAGAATGTTGGATCCTGGGGAAGTCTGTGATTGTGGCTCAGAAGCTGTTAGTATTCTAGAGATATTATCTTTATGTATATTGTTATTTTTTCTGTAAAATGGGAAACCACTTTCATGTTTACCGTGCATCCTCATGGTTTTTTTTTTTATTTGGGAGAGGTGGGCAAAATAAGGCTTGCTACAAACCCAGTTGAAAAATAAATCACTCATACTGAAAGAAAAGTGCTGTTACATTCTGACTGTCAATGCAAATGTACGTTCCAAAGAACTTCTTCAGTTCCTCTTCAGCGGTAAGGAGATGCTCATCAGTAGTCTTAGCTTTCAGTAATGACTCACATAGAAACAATAATGATAATAACACTTCAACCTGTGTACTGTATGAAGATAGGCAGAATCCAGGGCCATCATCAGGAGTTAATAGCCCATGATGCATGAAGAGCCCTGACAGCAATATGCAAGAGCCTTCAGTTGTGATTTTATGTGACTGGCTTATGTTGTCTGCCAACCCTTTGGTAAATAATTAAGTTACCTTCTCTTCTGGCAGGTTAATGTCCATTTTGCTTCATTAGGCCGCCAATTTGCATGTTAGTCCTGCATAACACCACATAAAGTAATATCTTGAAGGTAACAATAAATCTGACTGCCTCTGCCTTTCTTATTTGAAATTTGCATTAATGTGATATGACTGTGTAGGCACTTTTCACCCAGTGAGATAGGTGTCCCTTTATTTTTATACCCTATTTCAATAGTAAGGTGATGGGATATTTTTGGCTGAGCTGTCCTTGACTAGTGACAATTTAGAGGACTTACCCCCAGTGGCATGTATGATGTTAGTCAAGGGAAAATAAAATCCACCTTATAGTTATTTTTATACCCAATAATGCGCATTTATTATTATTATTAATGCCATTTATATAGCGCCAACAGATTCCATTAAGCTTTACAATATTATGAGAGGGGAGATTTAACTATAAATAGGGCAATTACAAGAAAACTTACAGGAACGAGTTAATGTAATAAACGGTGTTGGAAAGAGTTGATTCGTATGGTAAATTTTATTAGTTAGCAAAGTTAATTCTCAATTTTAAATACATTTTGCTTATTGACAAAGTTGATTTCTTTTCTTTTAGAAATGTATTTTTTTGTTTTAGGATTGTGTAAATGATCCATGTTGTGACCACAAGACCTGCTCTTTGAAGTCTGGTGCTACTTGTGCACATGGGCCATGCTGTGCAAACTGCCAGGTATAAATTACATACCTATATAAATTACAAACCTTTATATTTCATTCTGTTTATAAATACAGGGAATGTAGCCCATTTTCAGCTTGTGCTCATATAAATGTAGCTGATGTTTTTGTTGGTAAATCTATAATGTTTTAGTGTATATGAATGAAATACTTTATATTAAGATATAGGAAGTTCCATTTGTTATTCATAATAAGTGTAACAGAAGCCAGAATGTGTTGATTCTGCTTGTTCTCTAATTGGCTTGTATAAACATTGCTTTTCTTTAAAGGGACACTATAGTCACCACAACAACTACTGCTTATTGTACTTATTCTGGTGAGTATAGCTTGTCCCTGTAGGCCTTTTGCTGTAAACACTGCATTTTCTCTTTACATTCCAGCCTAGGAACACAACTAGAGGTGCTTTCTGGGTAAGTGGCGCACAGTGTGAGGCACTGACATTTAGTGTTGCTGAGCTTTCCCCATAGAGAAGCATTGATTGAAATAGCAAGTGCTTTATGTGTTTAGAGTGTTTCTTTAAGGTGCATCCATGTAGTATATAGTCAGTTTTACATCCACACGTATATATTTTAAACTTGGCTTTAACCAGCAAATTCCCATCAAGTATTGCTTTGCTTATGCTTTTTATTAGTTTATTTGGACAAGTAGTTGAGACTTACTAGTACACAAAATTACAAATAGTGAATGCTGTTGAATATTGCTAGAACACTTTAACTGTTTATTTAAATCACATTAAAAAATGGAGGAAGACAAACATTAAGATAAGAGATGAGCAGGAGATGGCTTGAAAGAAACTGAAAAGGGGAATGCTGGAGACACATATAATCTTATTATACCAAAGCACGTGCTGCAAAGTTACGCTGAAATTAAAACAACACATATTTTGCAGCGTTCTCCATCTTAAAAGAACACGGTGGCGGTCTGTCAAAGTATCACCGCCATGAAAACCCTTTTCCCATAATAATCATACGCCAGTAATTCACAGGCTAAAATATCGCCGGTGTCTCATAATCCCCTACACATGAGCCAAGGTTTAATGCTAGGGTAAGACTCATTTTAATGGAGAGCAGGCATCAAATTTATACAGTCAGTAAACTCCTCCTCTGAGCCTGGGAGATAATTGAGTCAGAAAATGGACTAAATTCAATTATCTCCATGTACAGAAAAAGGTAGAATATTACAACACCCCAAAAATATCCCCAAAATACATGGGGACCCCACAAAAGTAACATTCCTGGGTAGCCTGTATCTGGGGGAACAATATATCCAAACAATTACCCAGATCTGTTAGGTAGTTTGTGATTGTCATTGCAGGGAAGATTTGACCGGTGTGCCACGAGGTCGAAGCCCAGAAATAGTTCCTTGGAAAGGGTGGCAAGAGCTGGTCTCCGTTTGTGGGGTCTTGAAAACCATATAAAATGTAGTCAAGCTGGTTCGTGGAGAATGCTCACTGTGTTTGGTATTCTGGAACTCCTGAAGGCCGTTCGTCTAGGTGAATGGAAACAAGAACGGAGAGTAGATCAATAGAGACCGGCGTTCGTGAGAATGCCTGGCCGAAATGAGTTCCAGGCACTCGACAACCAGGTCCCGCCAGCAGCGTTCTGAAAACAAGTTAGACGCCATCCATTGTCCCAACCACGTGTATTCGTGTGCACGAAATGGCGGCCACCCAGTGGAGCATTCTATTAATGATTTCCTCTATGGTTCTCGTACAAGATACATTACGTTCCATACAGGAAAAAAAGTTAAGTTAAAAAGGTTAGCGCTAATAAAAGAAAAAATGGATAAAGAGGCAGCAGCCTAATAGGGGGTCACCCTCTAACCCTCTATAGTGAAGATGTGCAGGAAAACAGAGAAAAGGCTGCGCCAAGATATTTAACAAATAAAACGTAATAAAAAAAGTCCCAGTGGCAAAAAATAAAAAAAAATAATATAAAATAGTTCAATATTAAAGGTAGTCCAAACTGGTATGGTGTCTTCTTTGTTAGCAGTCGTCCGTCTCACGATATGAAAGACACAATGGGAAAAGAACCAGTCGTGCAGATTGTATAAATAAATGATAATGAAATTAAAATATAAATTGCGCACTCACATTTCCATGAGCTAGGACTAGCTCTAGTATGATGGGCATACAGCGGATAACCCTCCGCTTATAGGGATGCTTGTCCTCCTGGGGAGTGCTGATGTCCAGTTCTCAAAAGAAGGGAAAAACAGCGAATAGTGCTCTCTGATGAGGTAGTAATACAATGTTAATATTCTATATTAATAAATCTCTTTATATTATTTATCCTCTATATTATCTTATCTTCATTTACTGTTCCTGGCATATTCTAAGGTGGGGATTATACCACCCACGCAATATACAGAGTGCAGAAAGGACTGCACTCTACTTTTGAGTATATTTTATTTATTTTTAAACCTTGTATTACTACCTCATCAGAAAGCACTATTCGCTGTTTTTCCCTTCTTTTGAGAACTGGACATCAGCACTCCCCAGGAGGACAAGCATCCCTATAAGCGGAGGGTTATCCGCTGTATGCCCATCATACTAGAGCTAGTCCTAGCTCATGGAAATGTGAGTGCGCAATTTATATTTTAATTTCATTATCATTTATTTATACAATCTGCACGACTGGTTCTTTTCCCATTGTGTCTTTCATATCGTGAGACGGACGACTGCTAACAAAGAAGACACCATACCAGTTTGGACTACCTTTAATATTGAACTATTTTATATTATTTTTTTTTATTTTTTTACACTGGGACTTTTTTTATTACGTTTTATTTGTTAAATATCTTGGCGCAGCCTTTTCTCTGTTTTCCTGCACATTACGTTCCATGTTCTAATTGGTCTGTGGGGTGGTCTCGGTTCGGGAACCGAACAAAACAACGAACAAAACTGATGTCAACATAAGGATAAAACATGATGATAAACTAAGGTAAATAGCCGAACAGTGATGGGGTATTCCTTCACAAACACCATAAGCACTTTAACAACTTCATCTTATCTAAGTTGTTTTGGTGCTCGCCACACTGTCCTACTAACCAAAAGCCAATATTAAACTTTCAGCCATGGCTCCAAGCCCTCTGCGTATGAGAGCCAGAAATCTTATTTCCTGACTCTCATATCGTAGCATACCGTGATGTCACGTACTCAAGCACAGTGTTACGGTCACCATATAAAACAATTTTCTTTTTCTAAAACAGTTGGGGGGGACCTAATTGACCAGGGGCAACAGAGTGAAGTTTTAAGAATACAGTTATGCAGGTATGCTACAGTGTTCCCTTGAAGCTTCCTTCTCTTTCCCGCCACTCCCATTGCTTCTTAATGTATCTATGTACAGCTCTCTTTCTGTTCCTCCTGTCTAACATGCAATGTCCACTAACTCAGTTGTATATTTTATCAAGAAGTACAGCAAAACGTTTTTTTGGGTTGTAGTACAGTTACCCACTTTTGAAAGTAGTAAAATGATACAGGTCCAAGAAAACTATGCTGTGAGCGGAAATTAGGTTTTGCATAGAGAGCTTGAAAATCTTCTAGTCAACATCTCATTGTGTTTTAACCCTTGCTGTGCTTAGTTAAACATGTGTAGCAGGCTCTTGATTTATCAAGCTTCTTCCTGAAGTGGGGATTTGCACAAATGAATGCACTTTAAAAGTGTGTGTGTGTGTGTGTATATATATATATACACAGTGAGGGAAAAAAGTATTTGATCCACTGCTGATTTTGAACGTTTGCCCACTGACAAAGAAATGATCAGTCTATAATTTTAATGGTAGATGTATTTAAACAGTGAGAGGCAGAATAACAAAAAATAAATCCAGAAAAACTCATGTCAAAAAAGGTATAAATTGATTTGCATGTCAATGAGTGAAATAAGTATTTGACCCCTTCGACTTTAGCACTTGGTGGCAAAACCCTTGTTGGCAATTAAAGAGGTCAGACGTTTCTTGTAGTTCGCAACCAGGTTTGCACACATCTCAGGAGGGATTTTGTCCCACTCCTCTTTGCAGATCCTCTCCAACCTTCAGCTCGCTCAACAGATTTTTTATGGGATTAAGGTCTGGAGACTGGCTAGGCCCATCCAGTACCTTAATGTGCTTCTTCTTGAGCCATTCCTTTGTTGTTTTGGGTCATTGTCATGCTGGAATACCCATCAACTATCCCTTTTTAATGCCCTGGCTGGGGGAAGTATGTTCTCACCCAAGATTTGATGGTACATGGCCCGTCCATTGTCCCTTTAATGCAGAGCAGTTGTCCTGTTCCCTTAGCAGAAAAATACCCCAAAGCCAGAAATCTTGCTGATGGGGGATCAAATACTTATTTCACTCATTGTCATGCAAATTAATTTATAACTTTTTTGATGTGTTTTTCTGGAATTTTGTTTTGTTATTCTGTCTTTCACTGTTAAAATACACCTACCATTATTGTCATAATATTTTATTTGCAGAGTTTGACTATCTGATGACTAATTCTCTTTTTTTCATATAGCAGTGAATTGCCTAATCTTTTATCACTCTGTATCTTATAATAAATGTTTTTAGATGGTTCCTGCTGGTGTGGTTTGTAGAACAGCTGCAGATGAATGCGACCTTCCTGAATTTTGCTCTGGAATGGAAGCAGCCTGCCCTGATGATGTATTCCAGCAAAATGGCAATCTGTGCAATCAAGGAATTAATATTTGTTTCAATGGGAAATGTCAAAGTGCTGATTTACAGTGCAAACACATTTTTGGTCCAGGTAAGCATGTTAATCCTTTCCCGACAATAGGATGTTCCATGCCGTACTACACGGAGCAAGCTTTAATGCCGTTAGTACGGCATGGAATGTCATGCAGTTTGATAGCTAGGGCTCCCCTCTGTCACTTGGAGCTCCGCTCTGTCAGATAAGCTAAATATTAGAAATGAGTACTGCAAAGAGCCTTTTAACTCTATTCAGAACACTGAAGTTGAGTGATTGCACTCAGCAGCGATGTTTTTGTGCTGGTGCTAGGCTTTGCCAGCTGCCCAGCACAGATCACAGTGTAATCAGCTGAGAACACAAAAAGTATTGCGTAAATCCCAGTCCTACATCTACACCCTGGTTTACACCAAAAAAATGTAATATACAGAAAAAACATGCAAAATCGGTGTGGTGTACTGCACACATGTGTTAAAATCACCAACTAGGTGGTATACATATGAAACAAACAAAAGTTATATACACACTAAAGAAAGAAATTGGATATACAGGAAAACTAAGTGTTCCCAGGTCTACCTCACGGACACCTAACTAATGAGTAAAAAGCAAAGAAAGTGGGACAAAACCACCCAATACACTTATAAAAATTAAATATAACCTGGAGAAATGGACCAGGATAATAAGCTCAATGGAGATCTATAATAATGTTAAACATAACATAGTGCAATACAGTTACAACAAAAACAGAGTGAATGGTGTTTGGTATTGAACTCACAAACATAAGATGTAAATAGGCTTCTCGCCCCACCAGGGGTTAAAATGAATCAGAGAGCTGGTAGATCTCAGTATTGGAAATCCTCATAAATTCCTTGGGTAAATGGAGGAAAGAGAACCATACATGGGGAAGTACAGTTCAAATCAAAAAAAGATTTATTTAGATTGCACTTACAAGAAGGTAGACAATCTGGGCATGTCTCCACACACTGTGGAACCAGGTAGCAGCGTGGTAGATTGGTTGTACCAAAATACAGCAATAAAAACAGAAACAAATGGACTATAAAACAAATAGAATTTAAAAAAGTCCTTATAGAGTCCAAGGTGAGTTGTCCAACACGTTTCGTCCGATAGGGAACTTCCTCAGGGATCTGTGGTGAGTCAGCTTTGAAGAGACTTTTTATAACGCTGGAAATTACATCCATTTGCTTCACCTGATGGCGTGCGTTTCACCCGTGGAACGCACTGACGTATACTCTGTGCGCCTCAGGAAAGGGAAAATGACAGGGTAATAAGAGATCATTAGACGAATACGAGCATGAAGTATGTGCACATGTGCGAAGGGAAAACACCGATCGCCATGCGCACGTACAAAACATGATTTATAAAATCCAAATAGAAACATAAGAATAAACCGGCGAACAGCTGTCTAACGTACGAATTCAAACGGGACAAGATATAGATGACACATATTGAGGGGAAGATGAATAACCCCGAACGAATTTTAATTAAATTAAATATTAGAGACAGAGGTCTTTGCAAGTTAGTGTAGCCTCAAATATAATAAGGAGAAAGTTAATATAGCCCCAAATCTAATGTGTATGAATATATATATATATATATATATATATATATATTAAGCCTAATACTTAGTTGTTTCTAAGATATACAGGGGTATTACAAGGAGAAACCTCTTTTCAGATATATCAATGAGTATATAAAATTAAAATTAATATTTATAAATAATGGAGCAAAAGAGCTCCAGAGAATTGCCAACTTAGTATATGTTTATGCATGTGTCATATATTGACATATATTTACAATCAAACTACAGTATTTCATCTATAGAGAATTAAAAGAAAAATTATGTTATCAGAGACCCTGGAGGACTATTTCTGCATTTAGGCCTTGATGTAAAGTTTTTAGGTTATAAATCCAGAATGCTTCCTGACGGATGAGTTCTTGTAGTTTATTACCTCCCCTCCAACCCAAATCGATTTTATCTATCCCAAATGCCAAAAAATTCTCCCAACAAAATTAAGGGCAAGCATTACAATGCTTTGTGACATTATGATAAATTTTTCCCTTTTTGATACTATACAAATGCTCTGAAAGTCTAACATGGAGCTTGCGTGTGGTGCGACCCACATATTGGGCTCCGCATCCACACTGCAATAAATAAATTACAAAGGTAGAAAAGCATTGGATATGCTTTTTTAATTTTGTACGTTTTTTTTTTTGTTGTAAGTACTAATAAAATTTTAAAATTTTCTTTTCTGGTGTTTACATGTAGAACAGTGACCACAACGAAAAAAGCCACATATAGGAGTTTTAAGCCAATTATTTGAAGTTGGAGAATTATTAGGAAAAGGGCTGGGAGCCAATTTATTTTTGAGATTGTTTGCTCGTCTGTATATTACTGTTGGAAAATCTGGTATAATTTCTCCAAGAACATCATCCTTCTTCAAGATGTACCAATATTTCTTAAGAACTTTTTCAATTCTTTTGGCTTGCGCATTAAATTGTGTTATAAAAGCAAATTGAAATTTATTGTTGCTGTTGTTATTTGTATGTAGTTGATCACTGTTCTTTTGTAAAAGAAGGGATCGATCAGTTTTCAAAACTATTTTCTCATCAGTTTGCAATTTAGTTTGATTATAAGCCTTCTCTGTAAGGACATGAAGGGGTGCTGCCCTGGAACAGTACTGTCCCTTTAAATGTGGAAACCAATTTAGCAAAGAATAAAGGCAAGGACACAATGAATAGAATAAATCAAGAAATATATCATAAAGGGAACCAAAGGACAAAAGATAAAACAACATGTAATAAATATATACAAAGCCACAGAATAATATTTACAATAAATCAGGATAACCACAATTTGGGCAGGCAGAGTATACTTAAACAGTCCTTTGGTATAAAGAATGTATTTGGGCAGGATTGTGCAGCCACCACAGAAATGGGTGGGACACAGATCCAGAGCCACAAACAAATATATGGCACCAGGAAGCAAAGCCTGAAGCAGGACAAACGAACAAGACTGCAGGGTCAGGATCACTGGTAACAAGGCAGATGACAGGAACACTGAACCAGAACACAGGAATGCAGGAACATAAGACCAAGAAGACACGAGAACACAGGACCAGGAAACACAGGATCAGGGAGCGAAGAGTCAGAATCTCAGGAACCAGGAAACAAGAACCATGGAACAAGAAACAGGAGACAAGAGACAATGATCTGACAAGGAGTGAGGTGAAAAACCAGACTATATAGGTGCTAAAACAAGGACCAGGTGAAGTGCTAATGAAAGAAATTAGGAACAGTGATAATGGTGAATGTGGGTACTGCACAAGGGCAAATCAACTAAGGAGTGTTGTGACATTCTCTGCATAGAGTTTTTTTTATAATATGGGAAATGTTAAAGGAAAATGTGATCATCAGTACAATTCTTTCTCAGACGAACCAATTGACTTTTGGGGATGTTGGTAAGCCAAGAAGGATGGTGGGAGCTAGAGTGTTCTATGGCAGTGTTACAGTCGGTGGGTTTAAAATACGTTTTTGTTTTTAGTTGATTCTGATCAATGTAAATAGTGAGGTCTAAAAAATCTATGGATGTTATATCTGATTTTAAAAGTAAAATGTAAGTTATATTCATTTTGATTAACCTCTTTAAAGAAATTATTCAGACCCTCAGCATCTCCCTCACAGATCAACAACACGTCATCTATGTAGTGTCGCCATAGGACCAGTTTGCCCCCCGTATGATCTCGCAGAGAAATATGATGTTGTTCCCAGTGGGATACATATAAATTGACAAAACTGGGGACAAACTTAGTACCTATGGCGACGCCACACAACTGGAGGAAATATTGTTCATCAAACCAAAAAAAGATTTGAGTAAGCACAAAATTTATGTAATCTATAAGAAAATTAATTTGATAATCTTGCACGAGTTCATGTGAATTGAGAATATATTTTAATGCCATTATCCCTTTATGATCTTAAGAAATATTGGTACATCTTGAAGAAGAATTGGAGAATTTCCAACAGTAATATACAGACGAGCAAACAATCTCAAAAATAAATTGGCTCCCAGCCTTCTTCCTAATAATTCTCCAGCTTCAAATAATTGGCTTAAAACTCCTATATGTGGCTTTTTTCGTGGTGGTCACTGTTCTACATGTAAACATCAGAAAAGAAAATTTTAAAATCGTATTGGAACTCATCTGTCAGGAAGCCTTCTGGATTTATAACCTAAAAACATTACATCAAGGCCTAAATGCAGAAATAGACCTCCATGGTCTCTTATAGCATCATTTTCTTTTCAATTCTCTATTGATGAAATACTGTAGATTGTATATATATGTCAATATATGACACATGTATAATAAACATATACTAGGTTGGCAATTCTCTGGAGCTTTTTTGCTCCATTATTTATGTATATTCATTTTCATTTTATATACGCATTGATATATCTGAAAAGAGGTTTCTCCTTGTAATACCCCTGTATATCTTAGAAACAACTAAGTATTAGGCTATATATATATATATATATATATATATATATATTCATACACATTAGATTTGGGCCTATATTAACGTTCTCCTTATTATATTTGGGGCTACACTAACTTGCAAAGACCTCTATCTCTAAGATTTAATTTAATTAAAATTAATTAGTGGTTATTCATCTTCCCCTCAGCTTAGTGTATTGTTCAATATGTGTCATCTATATCTTGTCCGGTTTGAATTCGTACGTTAGACAGCTGTTCGCCTGTTTATTCTTATGTTACTATTTGGATTTTATAAATCATGTTTTTTATGTGCACATGGTCTCTTATTACCACGTCATTTACCCTTTCCTGAGGCACAGAGAGTAGACGTCATTGCCTTCCACGGGTGAAACGCACGCCATCACGTGAAGCAAATGGATGTAATTTCCAGCGTTATAAGAAGTCTCTTCAAAGCTGACTCACCACAGATCCCTGAGGATGTCCCCTATCGGACGAAATGCGTTGGACAACTCACCTTGGACTCTATAAGGACTTTTTTTTTTAACTTTTTTTTGTTTTATAGTCCATTTGTTTCTGTTTTTATTGCTGTGTTTTGGCACAACCAATCTACCACGATGCTACCTGGTTTCACATTGTGTGGAGACATGCCCAGATTGTCTACCTGCTTGTAAGTGCAAGCTAAATAAATCTTTTTTTGATTTTAACTTTACTTCCCCATGTATGGTTCTCTTTCCTCCATTTACCCAAGGAATTTATGAGGATTTCCAATACTGAGATCTACCAGCTCTCTGATTTGTTTTAACCCCTGGTGGGGTGAGAAGCCTATTTACATCTTATGTTTGTGAGTTCAATACCAAACACCATTCACTCTGTTTTTATTGTAACTGTATTACACTATGTTATGTTTATCATTATTAAAGATCTCCATTGATCTTATTATCCGGGTAAATTTCCCCAGGTTATATTTAATTTTTTATAAGTGTACTGGGTGGTTTTGTCCCACTTTCTTTGCTTTTTAGGTGGTATACATACACTGGTATTGAGTCTCCTGGAAAGTAGTGGTGTAACAATAATCCCAGTTTGGAACAGAAATTTTCCAGCTTTAATTAATTAAAAAACATAAGGAACATAACAGTGTAAAAACATACAGAATAACTTACAGAAGGACAATATAAAAAAGAGGATCGTATTGCTGTCAGTGGCAGAGTTACATAGTTACATAGCTGAAAAGAGACTTTCCATCAAGTTCAGCCTTCCTCACATATGTTTTTGCTGTTGATCCTGCAACAAACTAGGAAAATATTCCTTCTTGACCCCAAAATAGCAGTCAGGTGTCTCCTTGGATCAAGCAGCTATTACCCCACTAATTAGAAATTATATCCCTGTATGTTATGTTTTTATCCAAGTATTTATCCAATTGCAATTTAACCCCTTAAGGACACATGACATGTGTGACATGTCATGATTCCTTTTTATTCCAGAAGTTTGGTCCTTAAGGGGTTAAACATCTGTATAGACTCTGACAAAACTACCTCTTCAGGCAGAGAATTCCATATCCTTATTGCTCTTACTGTAAAAAAACCTTTTCTTTGCCTTAGATGAAATCTCCTTTCTTCCAGCCTAAATGTGTGACCTGGTGTCCTATGTATAGCCCTGTTTATGAATAGATTTCCAGATAAAGGCTTGTACTGGCCCTGAATATATTTGTATAATGTTATCATATCCCCTCTCAGGTGCTGTTTTTCCAAACTAAACAGATTTAAATTTTTTATCCGTTCTTCGTAACTAAAATGCTCCATTCCTTTTATCAGTTTTGTAGCTCATCTCTGCACTTTTTCTAGTGCCATGATATCTTTCTTTAGAACAGGTGCCCAAAATTGCACAGCATATTCAAGGTGTGGTCTTACCAGCGATTTTTAAAGAAGCAAAGTGATATTTTCATCCCAAGAATTTATGCCCCTATTTATACATGACAAAACCTTACTGGCCTTAGCAACTGCAGATTAACATTGCATATTGCTGTTTAATTTGTTGTCTATAACAATTCCTAAATCCTTCTCCTGTGTGGTTATCCCTAATTCACTACCATTTAGGGTGTAAATTGCTTGTGCATTCTTAACCCCAAAGTGCATAACTTTGCATTTCTCTACGTTAAATTTCATCTGCCATTTTAGTGCCCAGTCCCCCAATCTATCCAAATCCCTCTGCAGCAAAGCAATATCCTGCTCTCATTGTATTACTTTACAAAGTTTTGTGTTATCTGCAAACACTGATACATGGCTTTCAATGCCTATTTCAAGATCATTTATAAATATGTTAAATAAAAACGGTCCCAAAACAGAACCCTGAGGGACGAGAAGGACATCTGAAAGATTTTTTAAAGTGGGAACGCAAAAGAAAAGAAAGAATCAAATTAAACAAACCAAGCTCTCCATTAAAAAGATGAATAGAAAGAGAGGAACAAGAGGTGAAAGTATTATAGATATCAAAGGAATATATAACCTCTCCAAGATTACAATAAAACAATGCAGAATAGGGTATTGGCTAGAGGAATTAAATTTTGTCCAATAGCCAACTTGGACCATTTTTTGATTTATATAGATCTTAAAAAGTTCGCCAGAAAATTATGTTTAAAACGTTTGTTTTTTTTAGAGAAGGTAGACATAACTAAGGAATTTGGAAGTGGTACACAAAGTAAGGAAGGGCATAACTTTTCCTCACTTAAAAAGAATTCCACTTTCTTTCCAAAGAATTGTAAGACCAATTCAATGGACGCGTTTGAGGAATTAGTTATGCGAGAGATAGAACGGATTAAAAGAATTGATAGGAACAGAATAAACCTTAATAAGGAGGAACAACAAGCTCTGGTCGAACTGCGAGACAATACAGAGATCATAATTAAACCAGCCGACAAGGGGGGTGGCATCACTATTATGGATAGGGAATACTATATAGAGGAGTCACTGAGGCAACTAAATGATGGGATTACATACAGAAAATTGAAGGGTGAGACCATTGAAGAAAAAAAGGATATGTTTTTTTAATTTCTTGGGCAGGGGTTTATCGATGGAGGTTATCTCCAAAACAGAATATGATTACTTAGCGGTGACATATCCCAGGATACCTGTGTATTAATTTCTGCCCAAGATCCATAAGCATGAAACAAAACCACCGTGAAGGCCCATCATTTCTGGGATAGATTCGGTGTTAGCCCCCTTGTCGGAGTATATTGATCTGTGCTTGCAACCCCTGGTTAAAGAAACTAAGGCATAGTTGAGGGACACTAGCCAGATTCTCCAGGTGTTGGAAAAGGTGGAGTGGATGGATGGAGACACCCTTGTCACTGCGGATGTCTCGTCCCTTTTTTCGATCATTCCACATCAAAGGGGTATGGAAGCTGTCAAATTTTCCTTGTCCTCTTCCAACCTATCTTTGAATCATCAAGCCTTCATTTTAGAAGGCATCCACCTTATCTTGACTAATAATTATTTTCATTTTTTAGATTCTTTTTACCTGCAGACCCTTGGAATGGCGATGGGGACTAGGTTCGCACCCAGCTATGCAAATTTATTTATGTCCCATTGGGAGGAATCCTTTATATATGGGGACCATGGCTGGGTGTGGAACCTGGTCACCTATACATTGATGATTTATTTTGGATTTGGAGGGGCTCTAGAGAAGAGCTTGCTCTGTTTTTGTCGTACCTCAATTCCAACTCATGGGGAATTCGGCTCACCATGGACCATAGTGACAGCCAAGTTAACTTTTTGGATTTACATATCTTTATTTCCAACCACCGGATACGTACCGAGACCTTTAAGAAGGTAGATGTTAATAGTTTTATTTTTTACGACAGCTGTCACTTCGGTCCCTAGTTGGATAACATTCCCAAAGGACAAATATTAAGGTTGAAAAGAAACTGTACTAGTATGGAGACTTGTGAGACCCAAATACATAAGCTAATGGATCAATTCACAGCCAAGCACTATCCAAAGACTCTAACAGATAAAGCCTACAAGGAGATAGAGAATGTATATAGGAAATATCTTTTGGAGAATTCCAACAGGACGAAGAGGGACAAAGAAAATAAAAATAAGAGTGATGAGGTTTCTTTGATTTTTAACTATTCAGGGGAAAATAGAGAATTAAAGAACGTTATCAATAAGTACTGGTTTATTCTAAAAGAAGACCCTCTGCTACAGCAGATAGTCCCAAAAAGACCAAGGATCATTTATAGAGGGATACCAAGTATTAAGAACCATTTAGTTAAAAGTAGCCTCAAACAAGAAAATCAAAGTAAGAACTTCTTTAATCAGGATGTAGATTTCTTCCAATTTGAATACTGCTTGGCCTGCAGAACTACAGGAGTCCCCAAATGAGTTAAAAAAGAGTTGATAGGAGGAAATACACAACAAGTATATTGTGTTAAACAGCTTATAACCTGCCATACTACCAACTGTGTTTATGTCATTACATGCCCATGCAACATGCACTATGTGGGTAAAACCACTAGACAAGTGCATGTTCGCATTGAAGAGCATGTACGGAACATCAAAAGGGGATTCAAGGAACATCCTCTATCCTCACATTTAATCCATAAACATCAGGGGGGTGTTACTAAACTGCAGTTCATTGGAATAGAAAGAGTAAGCAGGAATTGGAGGGGTGAAAACTTGTATAACAGATTAGCGAGGCAAGAGATGAGGTGGGTGTTTAAATTGAAATCGCTGTCCCCTAGGGGTTAAAATGGAGAGTTTGAAGTTTGTCATATCTTGTAAATATCTCTATGTAACTGGTTTTTTTTGTTTCTTTGATTTCCTGCATTGGAGGATTTGCTGGAATTTTTTTAATTTTTCATTTTTCATTATGAGGTCTTACGTGTTTGTTTGTTTTTCTTTCTTCTTTTTTCTATTAGAAGGTACTTCAATCGATAGATATATGACCTTTATTCGATGTGATTATACACTGATATCTTCACTTTATGTGAATATATGAATATATATGAACGTGTTCTCCACCAATGTCTATATGTTTGAATTGTGAGATTTTATCTATGAAGATGATCTGCACTGTCAAGAAGATGTGTTTATCGTTTGAGGTGTCTCTGTAAAATGTTGTGCAGTTATCATTGTTATTGGGAAAATATCATTGCTATAACCAATTTTTGTATTTTATATTTTATATTTTTAATATTATCTATCTTTCTATTGTTTACATTTGTCTCTTTGAAGTGAATTGATGAGATTTCACTGGCCCTTTATGGGTAAACATACATAATAAAATAGAAAGAGGTATTTCTTTAAGAGGTGCAACATTAGGGGTGAATATCCTTTAAGGGGAGATCTGAATGCTCCTTTAAACAACTACATTCAGACATACTGAATTTTATGTATGAAGCAAGGATATTCTTCCATTATATATATGTTGTTTGTATATGTATGAATGCCACTTAAGATGATTTTACTTGTTTGTATAATTTTTGCCGTTACTATATTAGACTTAACAATATGCAGACATTGATATTTTGTTCGTTCTTATACTGTGTGCAGTAACGAGATCAGCCTTTGAGCTGATGTAACAAGTTCAGCCTGATTGGATACTTCTGAGCCTGTACATATGTGAATAATTGGTTAGATAAATACGATCGGGATATATATATAAGCTATATATAGATTTATGTTTCTTTTCCATTAGATCGGCCTGTACACTAGGGGTTGTTTGGCATCTCCTGACCTGGACCTCTCTCTGCCCAGGAGTAGAAACAAGTGGGCGGTTATTTTTTTACATACCAGAAAATCCTATTTATCTTTCCCACTGTCCTCCTCTCTTCCCTAAACACCTATATAACTATGACCACATCTATACTGGGCTATCCACAGTTTAATTTTTAAACATTAGATTAATTAAAGTAAGGGTTTTCATTTTACTTCTAATCTTTACTCTACTGTGCTCTCTCCCGTTGCGAACCCCTTTGGTGGACGTACTGGGATTTACTTTGCTTTTTGTATTAAGCTTTCGTGGGTTACCCCCTCTTGGAGAGCACAGCTTAGGTGACCATCCTCGATATATAAGATCTACCTTACCCAGAATAATATAGGGAGGGTCTTTTTTTAGTTGTATATACTATATATATATTGCATAGTTAATACACTTTGAGGTTCTTAGTTCATATTGTAATTAATTTATACGAAATAGTGGCAGCATATGTATTAAGACCTGAATTTATATACGGCCGTCACAATTTTTTCACAAAAAACTTTTTTACATCGAAAGTACTGTTTTGAGCTGGAATATAGTAATTATTTATATTTAAATGAGCATAGCAGAAGATCTAAAGGAAGAAATATCTTTTATAATAAACTTTTCTTCATCTTATTTTCTTCCCCTGTTTAACTTGTTGAAAACGGCAGTTACATTTAAACCTGCTTGAGCGGGTGTTACTATAGTAACGGCAGTAAATATAGAATAGAAATATATTGTGCAGAATGAAATAAGTCGTAACTTTATTTTGATACAATATGACTGTTTAGTAATATAGAGAATAGTTGGATTTTGTAACATTCATTGCTGATTCGGAATTTGCTGTGATTGAAAGAAAGCCGGCAGGTACTATAAAAATGAACACTAAGAGACAGACCGCATCCATTGAGAAAGCCGTCGAAGCGGAGAAACGTGTCTGGAGAGGTCTGACTCCCATCGATATCCGTCATCACATTTACTTCAAAGAGGAACACTATTTGATATTTTTCAGTGCTATACATCTTGCTGACTCGGGACGCCGAGTATTTTGAATAAGGTCTAGACCTTTTTTTAGTGATTTTATGGACATACTATTTGTGATAGATGAAGTTTCTTTTACATATGTCTTGATATTTGATTAATTAATAAATGGAATTTTAATGAATTTGGAGTGTGTTAGAAAGGTCATAGACCTATTAGTCATTATTCATTAGAAGAGAAGGGTTTATGTATTTATGTGTTTTATATTGTATAGGTTGTTAGGTTTCCTATTTTTTACCCTACTCTCATCTATTTCTATTCAATCAGAGCTCCACTATCTGTACTTTTTCCTATATTGTTTGTTGCACCTTGTTTTTTTGTGTGTCTATTGTGGATGTAGCAGGTTTCTGGAAGTCTGGTGAAACTGTGTCAAGTTAGTCACATCCCAGCAATGGTTATGATAATACATCTTTTTATAGAAATATATAAACTTCTGTCTGTTTCTGAATTTTATAGTGCCTAAACAAGTTGAACTTATTCTATTAGTGTGAAAGGCACCTCTAAAGGTAGAGAAAATGAAGTGATTGACATATGCAAGAAATCTTCATGGGGAATTGGAACAAATGCCTTGTCCAAATGCCAAATCTTTAAAGGGACACTATAATCACCAGAACACTTACAGCTTAATGTAGTCCGAGAAAAGGCAGTGTTTACATTGCCCCTGGGGACACCTCCTTAGATGGCAACTGGAGGGACTTCCTGTCTCAGGGCTGCACAGTAAGCAGCCCTCCCATTCAGCGTCCCCAGGCTCTGCATGGAGAAGCTGAATGTTCCTCATAGAGATGCATCAATTTAATGCATTTCAATGAGAAGGTCCTGATTGGCCCTGTGGGAAAGCATTGGATTGGCTAAAAATCTGCCATTTCATTGATGTCACGTGGTGCTGGAAATAAGGTGAGTTTTAAACTTTTATATGGGGGCTAAGGGGAGGGTGGGGGGGGGGGGCAAGCCACGTGAATGGTGGGTTTAGCACCATAGGGTCAGGAATACATGTTTGTGTTCCTGACCCTATAGTGATCCTTTAAGTCATTTCTGAAAGTGGGTAGATGATTTATGTACTGATGAGAATGTTCAAGAACCATTTGCTTAGTATATAAGATGACTGGCTTCCTTATTTTTCCTTGCAGTGTGTCCTGCTTGTTGCAAGGGCAACTGAACTGAGGTCTCTGGTGGAAGGTGAAGATATACTGGAAAATGTTTGGCCTCTCTTGTTTGATTAGATGTGGTTATTTGATCTGTGTACACATACCAAATGTTGTAGTTTAGGAGCAGTGATGTAATTAAATTTCTAGGGCCCTTTTTGTCTAGGTGTACTATTGTTCAAACCAATATTGATCTGGGATTTAACAATTGATTATTTTGCATGGTTACGCCTAGGTTTCTTATTTATTGAGATGGGAAGAAGCTGTTAGACCGCAGACTGTGAATTTTGTTTTCAGCTGTTTTATTGTGGTTGAATTTGAGTAGTTTAGTTGCTTTTCCGGTTCTCTGACAACCAGGAATGAACAGTATATCAAAACACATTTCAATGTAGCATTTGTGGTAGAATGTAAATATGTAGATAGAGGAAATTAAAAAATGAATCAATAAAAGACATTACAATAATTAACTGAACTCACATGCGTTGTATAAATATAATCAAAAAAGACAATTTTATTTTGTATGTGCTCGTTTAAAGACATATGCTATTCAAATGTTTTTGCAGATTCCAAAAGTGCCAGTTATGAATGCTACCAAGAACTAAATGTAATAGGTGATAGATTTGGAAACTGTGGTGGTGTCCAGGGATATTACGCCAAATGTGACAAAGAGTAAGTCATTCTGCTTTGAATTCAAAATACAATTTAATTTATGTGGTAAGAGGGGATGTAGTGATGCAGTCTTAGAATATAATTGCTAATAGTAAATTTGTTCACTTGTCCATTTCCAAAGTTTTCTTTAAAGGTACACTATAGTGCTAGAAATACAAACTTGTACTCCTAATGCAACAGTGCCCCTGCCCCTACTTGTGTAAAGATTCCCCCCTTTTCCGTTTTGGAGATGCTCTGACCCAGTCATCTAGCCATCACCAAACCCCCTTTGACAGGTGCCAATGAAACTATATAATCAATATTATTCACTTTATCTGTTAGTGGTTTTAATGTTGTAGCTGATAAGTATATTACACACTGCCAGCCAAACACCCCGCACATACACCTATTACTTATAGCCAACACATTACACACAGCCAGCACGCACCAGAGATGCACACTGTAACGGACCGTTTCGCTCACAAGGGGAAAAAAACAGTTTAGGCGATAATCCCCTTTCAATAGACCAGCAGCTATTGCAATCACCAACCTCCCGAACTCCAAACTGTACGAATCCCCAACTCACGAACAAGAAATACATGAACTCTGGAAGCAGCCGAACAGGAAAAGCAATACAAACGGCTTACACTCCTGGCAGTCAGCACACAATCCAATTCCCCCAATAACGAGACGACACTTCACTTTCAGGGTTAAGCAGGAACACCAGATTTATTCACACAGCCTCCTTTTAAGACATTCTCCCATGCAAGGGAGGGATCCACAACAATTAGTACCCAAGCCAATAAGGTACCAGTTACCTCCCACACATCTCCTCCCCTTAGTGTGACACATAATCCCATTATGTGGGAATATTTATGGGATAATAATAGTAACAGTGAGAATTGCCCACTAATTCAATTCTCAGATCCCAAAGAACGTTTATCGTGTTAAGTGGAATGTATTTCATATAATAATATCACAATGTATAAAAATAGATTTTTATTTATGATAACCAATAATTAACAAATAATATTATGTAACATGCATAACAATAATCAATGAATATCCAGTACAAAATTATATGCAATACAAAAAAATGGGTATTACGTTACAATGGCTAAATAGCATTTCCTGTCAAGAATTATTTATGACTATCTTTAACACAGGCTGAAAGTGAAACTTTTCACACAGAGAACAGAATTCCTCAGAGTGCAGCGTAAGGTCGTAAAGTTTAGCAGACAGTTAGAATAACCCTTTCAATGCTGGCTAGATCTCCTAGATAGTTAAGATCTATTCTTATGTAATTTTTAAATAAAATAACATTTAAACCAGTTTAAATTCATTTTCTTAAAATCATCCAATAAGAGAATTTACCACATTATATAAGCAGATTTTTAATTTGTCTAAAAGATATCTATCTTAATTTAGAGCAAATCAATACACCTGGATAAAAACAGCGGTATGCTAACACGTGATAATATCACATCAATATATAATTATTCTTAATTCCACCTGCAGAATGGAATATTTATAACTATATATTCTTAGTTAACTAAGATTTCTTAATATGGAAATCTGACCGTGCTTTATCCAGTCATATATAATGCTATTAATACATTTTAATTAAATTAATTTAATTAAATGAAACCAGTATAATTACCAGTTGAGTAGATATTTCATCCGATTGGTAGTCTCAGGAATTTATTTGGATGTGTCTCTGCATGGAGGTTGGAGTCCCCAAACTTCCAATTCCTCTCTTTTCTCTCCTTTGCATATCTTGCATCTGCCTCCTTCTCTCGTATATATTTCTATCTTCCCTTTGTCTTAACTTTTAAAGGGCCAGACTCTCTGTACGTCATCAGTTGATAACCCAATAGAAGCACTAGAGGTGTGGTTATCTTCCAGATCGCAAATTAGGTATTTGGTCTGTAGAGGGCAGTCTTGTCCCACTAAACATACCTATCCAGGAAAGAGTTAACTTTTCCTGGTGGCTATTTTGACGTCATTTTGGGTTATCTTTATAGCGCCATAATTTAAAATTTCAAAGGGTTTCTTAAATTTTGTCCAGACTTAGCGTCTGCAATTCCTACCATAATTTCTGATATGACAGATCATGAACTAAGTTTACCCTTTTCCATACAATGGTACCTTATATATATATAGACAGTTAAATTTTATTATTTAATCTTCTCTGTCACAATTGTCTGGGTTTAGATTTGATTATATTCCATTAGCATTAGACAGTCTGTCCAACCCCCTTCCTTATCACTTGTTTATACTATGCATTCCTTAGCTCTGGCAAAGAGGCCAATCTTACAGAAAGAAATCCTGTGTCTCTTTGTTTTTGTTAACTTGGAATAACAAAATGGAGTCTGATCTGTTCAGAGTGACTCAGAATATACACTTTTAGTTTCTATCATAGCACAAAATGTCTGCCGATATAAATACTCTGACAATTAGTACAGACACAAATTCCCTGGGATACTGGATGTACCCCTAAACATAGGAATACCCCTTTAAATGTTACATCCCCTGGTAACCCTGATCTGGGTGAGACACATATCCAAAAATCACCCAGATCGGACCAGGGGTTCAGGAATTATAAAGGGTTAAAGTTTTGACCGACTGCATGGCAAAAGTATCCGAAAATAGTTCCATGTACTTTGGCCCTGCAGTCGGTCACAGAAAAGGGAATGAATCACACGAATTGCCTGGGTTATAGAGCTTGGGGAGGATTCGTATGAATCCCCCTGTTCGTGGGATCCTTTCTACCGAACGGCGGGCCGTTCGGTAGTTTCTGCACGAATTGCTGGAAGTCTGGAGGTCTCAGCGGTGTTTGCTTAGTCGGGTGTCCGATTTTAGTTCCAGACACTCGACGGCAAAACACCGCTGTTCGGGAGTTTAAGATGGCCGCCGCCACGTGTTCGTTTCCTGAATGGCGGCCACCCAGAGGACACAACACACATTACACATATTGCCAATTACCCGTTTGCAACATTGTTGCAAACGGTAATTGGAGGCACACTTACTCCCGGGTGGTCTGGTTGTTCGGTAGTTTCACCCAATATAATGAATGAAGTGATTCTACCGAACAATCAGGGGAATGCTGCATTCACAGAACACTTTATACCGAACACATAATATTAAATACAGCCTGAATGCAATTTGCTACACAGTCTTAAAAAGGCATTATTCCTAACAGGCAGAATATGTTCACGGATGGCCCTTAAAGGGCCAGTAGCAGCAATATAAAAATGTCACATGTCCAAATATTGCATACAAAAGTACGAATTCACAAGGGGGCCATAGTCAGATGGCAGGAGGCTGGCAACCAGGCTTCTCCAGTGCATAGTGGCGAGGTTGGTTTCGCCACACACACATTACACATAGCCAACACACAAATTACATACCGCTATCCAGGGCCGGCCTTAGGCCTTCAGGCGCCCTGTATTCGAAAAATCATAACAGCTTCTCCCCATCCATGTGTATAGGGGATTTATTAAATGAAAATTTAAAAATTAACAAATATTTATCCCCTCTTTCCTGTCATTACCTTGCATGGAGGGGGGCATGCTGATCTCTGGTGATCCAGTTTGCTGGGAATCTGGTCGGTGCCAGCAACTGTCTCATGACCTGAGGCACTTACAGTATCAGAGCTTTCCTGTGGTAATCCGCGGCAACGTTCTGATTGGCCGGAACTCGGAAGACAGCTACATTTATCATGTGTGTGTGTGTCAAACGTGATTGTGTGATGTGTTGGCTGTGTGCCATATTTGTAATGGGTGTATTGACTGTGTCTGATATGTGTGTGTACTGACCATGTGTGATTTTTGTGCACTATAGCAGTAGATGGATGGGAAGGCACTATATGGGTAGTTGGGGAGCAGGGACGCTATAGGGGTAGATAGGGGGCACTATAAGTGTAGATGGGGAACAGGGGCACTGTAGGGGTAGTTGGGGAGCAGGGGCACTATAGGGGTAGATGTGGGGCACTATAGGGGCAGATGGGGAACAGGGGCACTATAGGGGTAAACGGGGAACAGTGGCACTATTGGGGTAGATGGGGAGTCACTATAGGGGTAGATGGGAGAGCAGGTGCACTATAGGGGTAGATGGGGGCACTATTGTGGTAGATGGGGAACAGGGGCACTATTGGGGTAGATTGGGGGCACTATAGGGGTAGATTGGATGAGCATGGACACTATAGGGGTAGATGGGGGGTACTATAGGGGTAGATGGGGAACAGGGGCACAATAGGGGTAGATGGGGTGCAGTGGCACAATAGGGGTAGATGGGGAGAGCATTGGCACTATAGGGGTAGATGGGGGCACTTTTAGGATAGATGGGAAACAGGGGCACTATAGGGGTAGAGGGAGGCACTATAGGGATAGATGGGGAGCAGGGGCACTATAGGGGTAGTTGGGGGGAGAAGGGGCACTATGGGGCTACTATAGGGGTAGATGGGGAACAGGGGCACAATAAGGGTAGATAAGGGGAGCATGGGCACTATAGGGGTAGATGGGGGCACTATAGGGATAGATGGTGAACTATAGGGGGAGCAGGGGTAGAGGGGGCACTATAGGGGGAGCAGGGGAGTACTATAGGGGTGGAGGGGGAACAGAGGTACTATAGGGGTAGATGGGGGTACTATAGGGGTAGATGGGGAACAGGGGCACAATAAGGGTAGATAGGGGGAGCATGGGCACTATAGGGGTAGATGGGGAACAGGGGCACAACAGGGGTAGATGGGGCACTATAAGGATAGATGGGGAACAGGGGTACTATAGGGAGAGCAGGGCCACTATAGGGGCAACATTTTGCCTCGGTTTTTCCATTTGGATGTAATTTCCCAAAAAATTTAATTTAGTGAATAATCCTGTCAATGTCCAGTTACCTCCCAGAGCAGGTGGCCCAATTTAAAAAGTGTGTGTTATTACAAATAGATTGGGCTACTGCTTTAGTCCCTTGAACAAGAATATATATTTTTTAATTTCCACTCCCCTTTCAGCAATCTAAAATACCACTGGATCAAATATTATTACAATAAAAATAAGGTGTGTGTGTATATTTATTTATTTTTATTAGATTTCCCTTTTAAGGAATTTGAAATATGTGGGGTTTGAAATCAAAACAAGACAAAATGGGTTTAGAAGAATATACTCTTACTATTTTTCATGGATGGTGTGCGAGCTCATAGCCATTACAAATGCATACACTTGGCATGGACATTATGAGATTTATTAACTGATTGCTCTATGGACAGTCTCTACAACCATAAATATTCTTTAACATTAACTCATACCTCTTATCAATCCAGAGAGAATCAGGATGGGGTTGGTGACCCACTTCACTAGTGATGCCCGTGACGGGTGGTCCAACCATGGATAGGCTGCCTGGCCAGACCCCAGCCTTTAGGACTATGTAGGGAGAGCTGCTAACTTCCTGCCTTATCCTAGCGCCCACTGCTCATTAGATGTGCTTGTGTTGCACTGCCCGTGAACACTTCCCTGCTGTCCCCAGATACAAGACATCAGAGAGCCAAGGTGGGACAGGACCCCGAAATGGGATGTATTAGAGAAGATATGCTCAGAGTGGCCAGCGAAGGTTACATTTTTATATTTAGAATTATGGCAATACTTCTTTTATATCTATGTAATCGCTTGCCAGCTGAAAGATTTTGAAGAACATGTCTATGAAACCTTTACAGGTGATATGAAATGAGAGCTAGATTCAGTAAAGATTAAATATAATCTGTTAAGTATTAGTCATATCTATGCAGGCTTGTTTGACATCTAACTCAATATTTTATTTAAATTATATTCTAGTGATGTACTGTGTGGCAAGATCCAATGTGCAATCACAGGAGAAGTAAAGATAAATATAAAAAATGCAGCTGTTTCTTTCTACACTCCTAAAAATGAAACTTGTGTAAACGCAGACTTTTTCACAAGTGATTTTGTTGATCCTGTACAAGTTAGAGATGGTACAAAGTGTGGTGAGAATAAGGTTAGTAAACGTTTAGAGTCCAAACATGCTTGGTGTGTCTGTCATTAATCCTACTTTAACTTCTGATTTGTCCTGCTTTTGGTAAGCATAGGTATAATATTATTTAAATGAAACAAAAACAAGCATTTTGGAAGCCAAGAAAAACATTTCAAAGTAGTTTACTTAATAATGCACACAATAATAATATTAATAATTTTAAATCTCTTTTTGTTTTTTTGTTTTTTACTGTTGCCATCCTTCTGCTTATCTTTTTGGCAGGAGAAGTATAATTATTTTCACTTGTTCATAATTTAGCTCTCTTGTGGTCCATCAGCTTAGGTGCAGGTCTGCATCTCCGGTTGGGTGCCTGTCTTGACTGGGAGGTAGCATAGAGATGTGCGCCCAGCAGAGCACAGGGCTGGTCAAAGAGATCTCCATGCAGCTGCAAGTGATCTCAGGAAAGCCAGTGATTTAATGGTGCTCTAGGACCCCAAACGGCAACAGTTGCATACAAATTTTGTTTGCAATAATAAAGTTCTTTTGTAATTGTTAAAATTGTGTATATACAGTTCTAGGGTATTTAAACATACCCTGCAGTTTGCATATACAATTCTCATATTAAAAGAGCTAATGACTGTCTGTTTTAGGATTGTAGTGATGCATTCATTTCTAATTTTAGACTTAAATATATGCCTAAATTGTGCAATAGTTAGTGACAATTACATTCCATCCAAACTGTAAACTGTAAATATGTTTGTAAATTGTAAACATATTTACAATTATGTGTCCGAAGGACCAGAGATTTGTTGTTATTTTTTATGTGTTTATATTCAACTATGATTCCCTTTTTTATATTTAGTACACCCACACGTCCCTTTTTTCTATTTAGTGCATTTTCAAAGACGGACAGGGCTTCACATGACGCAAAATATATGGAAAGGGGAGCCAGGGGAGGTGTAGCTACAGCTACGTAATCAAAGTGATTTAAGTCCTACACGGCAGAGAATTGAGCATTAACAGTGCAGGGGCATGGTCTACACACCAACACCACTTCATAAGGTTAAAGCTATTTTGGTATTTGGAGTGTCCTTTTAATGACATTTTAGACAACGCAAACTTCAAGCAGGAATCTTTTAAATATTCTTTTATACCCTTCCAATGCTATATAGAAGTGGTCTCATTGAAGTTGTCTGCGTGCAATTTTCCTTTCCCCTTGACCCAGCAATGTAAAATATTGCTGTTTTAGAGAAACTGCAATGTTTACATTACAAGATTACTATATCTAGTAGCTGTCTATGCTATGCATCAGGATGTCCAGTATCAAAATCCCCATAGGACAGAATTGATTCTGTGCAGATATATCGGTAAACAATTCCAGCACTTTGGTTGTGCCTCTCAGTGAGTGCTGAGTCCCTGCTTACATCTTGCCCCCCAGCTACTATGTGCTGAATTGTCTCAGAGGTCTCTTTCCACAGTCTGCACCTTGGGACTTGCCTGGTGTGGTAGACCCCCGTTTCTATTGATCTGGTGCTGAGTGCCTGTTCCTGGATTAGTGTATCAGTTCTGCATTTTTCAACCACTGGTAGCATTTTTCAATGTGAGCCACATCCACTATCTGCCAGTGTACACACACACATATATATATATTTATATTATACCTAGCGTGTATTAGTGGTGGTATTTAAATTACTAGATGCTACTAGATAAAGCTGACACTTATTTATGGGTGAGGTGATTTAGGTATTTAGTATGCAATTACACGTGGATGAATGTGAAGTTTCGAGGAACTTAACCGATAGGTCTTTTGACACACAGATGAGCTTTATTTATTTTCTAAATCACATGCAATAATTTGTAAATAAATACACTCTGTTTTCAGATATGCTATAAGCAAAGGTGCACTGATTTCTCCAGGTCTGACTTTACTTGTGAACATGATACAACATGCAATGGCCGAGGCGTAAGTAAAATACAGAAACTAACCAACAGATAGTTCTTTTTTTTTTCCATTTTATCATTTTATTAATTTCAAAAGATAGGGAGTGGGGCAGATAGTTTCTTAATGTGCAAACCAAATGTCAGTGTTTGACAACGTAACATCATCTTTTGGTGCAAGTTCACTTTGCATGTACTGTAATATGCTTACGATGCTTAATAAAACTAGTATAGAGAGTTCAAAATGTCAAGCATATTACATAACACAACACTATGACATTAAACTGGAGTTATCTGGATTTTTTATTTGAGATTTGCAATAATAAACACAACTGTCGCTGTGACCCAGGCTGGAAACCGCCATTTTGCAATGAACCAAGTGACAGCATTGATTCAAGGAGTCTGGACCCAAACAAAAGTTAGTGGATTTTGCTATTTATTTGAATAAGCAATACATTTTTTTTTCTCATAACATAATCTTTATAATTTTATAATATAAGCTAGATATTTTGTAATGAGATATAGATATGCAAACTCTTCGAATAATTGTATTATATTTTATTACTATAAAATAGTAATTCTGTTCCTTACGCTCAAATTTTAAGTTTTAACATTGTAGTTTTTTGAAATGGAAGCCTAACATTTTCTTTAACAATTATAGAGGATATGAAGCCAAATGTTTTAGTCACTTTCTAATTTTTCAGAATGTTGTACTGTGCTTCAACAAACTGCAAAAGACAGGAATCATTCCATTACTCCCAATATAGTCACTACACTTTTAAGACTTCCATGTTTTTATGTAAGCTGGTTTCTGTTAAATATAAATTATTCTTTATTAATGTTATACCTCTACAGTTTATCAAACAGTAAACCTGACTAAAGTGACATGTAAATTGATAGCAGATGTGATATGGCTGCCATTTGTTTATAAAGCAGTTCCACTAATTCTTTGTGATGAGTGCAGGCCCATACCACTGGACAAACCAAGCAACTGCAAAGAAGACACAAAGATCCTGGGCTAACTGGTTAAATCAGGGGATCTCCTCTGTTACCAACCTGTCCAGCTACAGTTTTCTTCTGCCACCTCTGTGACTCTTTGTTAGCTGCAACGTGAGGGAGTTATAAATAACCCATACCAACACATCCAAAGTGAATGATCAGAGGCAAGTTCACCTCTGTGACTCTTTGTTAGCTGCAATGTAAGGGAGTTAGAGATAACCCTTACCGACACATCCAAATTGAGTGATCAGAGGCAAGTTCAGAAAGCAACATATATCTCTATAGTCCTATATATTGTGATCAATAAAAAGCTACAAGGGGTAGAGGAGAAAACCTTGACTGGCCAACATGGGCTCGAAATGAACCTGGACTTATTTTTTGTTAAACTATTCCGGGATGTGTGGAACTGCTCCTGTGGGATAAACTATATGTCCTATAAAGTACAGACCAAGACCACAACGAGAGAATCTGGATTAGGTAACTTCTTTCCTGTTAAAGTAGGGATTTTTTTTGCTAGTGACACTTGCTGTGCTCTGCAAGTGTCATTATAATTAGAAAGTATAAAAGTGAATACTTATTTCCCTTCCTTTTTATTTATTTATTTGCATTATTTTTCTAATGCGATATATATATAAACCTTGGGTCCTTCATCTTGTGCTACCCTACTTGTCTTTGCCTCAAGCCTCAATATATTAATAAAAGACATTTCTATAATCTATATAATGCATTAAAAATTAGAGTTCATATTTACCCCATAATTTCCCTTTAACAAAGCTACTTTTCCTATTATCCTCTGGTCTAATGAAGATTTGTCATTTTACATATAATAACCTGAAAGCTTAGATACCTTAAAACAGTTTTGTTGAGTGTGTGTTCTCAACTGTGGTCTAGAAAAATGGTAAATAAATGTTGTTTTAATGTATCTGAAAACTGGACAGAACATTGTTTGTTTTTCTTCTTCTTTTTTTTTAATTAGGTATATATTCTGACGCAAATTCAGATGAAAGAAAAACTTGGCTTTTAATAGGATGTTTACTAGGTCTGCCTTTATTGATTATATTAGTTGCCATCCTGATAAAATTATTCAAGAAACAGAGCAAAGGAAAAAAATCCCAGTGAGTATACCTTTGGAATTATCTTATAAAGAAAATATTCTAACACTTTAAACCAGTTGTCATGGACATTACAGTTTACGTCAAAAGGGGAAGTCAAGAGTTTGCTTATAATCTCCACTGTCTAGCTTCTATAATTTTGTTGAGTGTTTTTCAACATTAACCTCCGTGACAGATATTAACTAATTAGCTATTAAAATGTATTTTTATATGTAGTAGGCATCCTGATAATCAGTTGCCACAGAGAGGTCTAACGAAAACCAATTACTGTTTTGTGGTGACAAGTAAAAACAATTGTGGAAATCAAATTATGAGATATGATAAACATTCTGATGTGTATATTTATTATTGTGCAATGAGTAATAGAAAAGTGAAGATATGGTGGTAAAAATAACGTATTCTTATACACTATACACCATTCTTCCCTCAGTGTAGAACTCCCAAGAAATTGAGGAATCTTATATTAAGAGCAGATACTAGACTTTTGTCATGAAGGATTGGCTTTCAAAAACTAGAGACAAAAAAATAATTCAAGGAACACATAATAATAGCATAATAATCAGTTTGCAAATTATGATCCTGTAGAAAAATACATTGTCCAACATTAGAAAAAAATGTATGGTTGTTATTTTGTCTTGCAATACACTCTCTATATTTTTAAGTAAGATGTATCTATATTTCTAGAGAAAATCACTGCCTGGTAATCAGTCACTAGTCTGTTCATGCCCCAAATATACTACTTTTCCTGTGGTAGATCATTCCTCTTTTAAGGATTCAACAGACAAACATGTTCTTATGCTCTTGTTGGATGCTCAAGAAAATAGATATTGGTTAAAAATATATCAGATCAGCATGTCCTGGTTGTACAGGAGAGCAGATGCATGTTGGATTAGCGCTGAACTAGTGGAGGCACAAGCGACGAAAATAGATGCTAGTCTCCTTAAATTGAGACCGGACATCAGGGAGAGTATCAAATAGCACCTTCTAAACACACCAGATCATCAAAAACTCGAAACCACACTGGACTGGACTGGCAAAACGACCTACAAGATGGCATCTATCATGGTGTGCCCTCTCCTAGCTCTGATATGAACCAGATAGAGACAGAACTTAAGATACAACACACCCTTATTAATAGTAAATAGTAAAACTACAAACAAAGTCCAGGAGGTGAGCCAAGGTCAGGAACCAAAGGCCGGAATCAGGAGAACGGAGATCAGCGAAGTCAGGAACAAAGCCAGAAGTCAAGAACCAGAAGGGAAGTCAGACGAACCAGGTAAACACAGGAATCACAGGAAAGGCTCTAGGAAATCAGAAACAATGCAATGCAGCAATGATTTGTTGCACTGATTAGCTTAATGGGCAGGTTAACAGAAACCAGGTTAGTAACCTTGGTAACAGTAATGAAAGGAACTGATCGTTTAAACATGCCCTGAAACAGTATAAAAAAGGGTTGCTGTTTAAAACTGCAGAAAAACCATGACAGATACCGCTTCTAAATTGGAGGTGTTAGGCGAACTCTGGGGTCTTCAAATGGAAAATGCATATATTGCTGCAATCCCTATGTACCACACTCATGGCACTCTTCTAAACCATTACTGCTGACATCCACCCCAACCTCAAGGCCTTGGGGGACAGAACCAACCACTTGGAGGGTAAGATGGATGAGATATACACTGCACACTATGGGCTTGTGGACGAAATCACATATCTTGAGGACTACCACAAAGCTTTACCAAACTGGACATGGAGGACAGGTCCCGAAGGGAATACTCCACTCAATTTCCATAGAGAAACTGACTACATTTGTACAGACCTTTTTCAAAGTTATTGCTCAGAGTACCTACTGGACAGGGCAGAATCCCAAAACCCAGAGTGCTTCCAGTCACGGTACCCAGGGTTCCCATAGTTAGATTACACTGTTTCCTCTCTAAAAATGCCCTGATGGCCTCTGCATGCACATACAAGTAATTTCGTAAGCGATTTGCTGACCCATCACTACATACAGATTTTTCCGCTATGATCGTGGCAAAAGGCAGGAATCTTAAAAAAAATACTGTATGTTCTCAAAGTATTGCTTCAGATGGGGTTTCCCCATGAAGCTCCATGAGTGGAGAAACTGAGTGGTTCAAGTGTTTGCTACCCATTGTGGAACATTCTGTCGGGACCGGAGACAGAAAAAGGAAGGCCTCTCTCATCTGCCATGTTATCAACTGTGAAAAAGAAGGCTTCAACACATCCTGAAGGATCACAGAGCGAAGTTCCTTTGGTAACCCACAAGACACGAGAGAGCTCACTTGGTTCACAAAACTATAAATATTTTAGCTTCTGTTTTCCTTTATATAGATCCCTCCCCCCTTTTGGACCAATGGGGGATATTGTCACCACTGAAGTGCTCCCTTGTACTTAGATGAAAGAAGCAGCAGACTGCTGTATTAATATGCTCAATCTAAGCCACGCACTTGAGGCCTGTATTCTAAGATAACTTCCATAGCAGCACTCATGGCCCAGGCTCTCCACGAGAAACGGATAGAGAGGGCTTTTGCACAACTGTGGGCAAGATTTTGGACCAAGACCTGCCTAAAGGTGGAGAGGTCTGCAGACTACAGAGAGTGCCCGGGATACGCTTCCTAAGCGAGCCCCCAAGTGGGGAACTGTTCCATTCCGCACTGCCGCAACACCAACACCCGGGAGGCACTCTTTCCGAATTGGGGCAGCATCTACAGCATCTGCTAATCATGTACCCACTCACATTATCAAGGCAGTGGGCCGCTGGAAATCGTCCGCCTACACACTCTATATACCTAATCCCGTTAAAGAAAAAGACAAGCTTTCTGTGACTTATCTAAATAAATAAAGTTGGTTAACCGTATTACCTTTTATGGTATTTTCTTTTGCCCACTTTTATTACAGGCCTACTGCTTTGTCGGTTCTGGCACACCACAACCGACTGGTTCCAACTCATTGATGTTATGGTTATTATATGCTAGATTTCTGTATACGGCTATATTGCCCCGACTACATATATATATATATATACATAACCCATAATAAGTGTATTTATATATATATATATATATATATTTAAACCTGATTGCTTTACTAACTATTTTTAAATCTTTCCTAACCAGCAACGGGACTGCCTGTCAGTTTCAGCAGTCCCCCAGAAGAGGATTGTAGTGGAGGTGAGTAGGAGCTGGGAGCTGGGGCTTAAAGCCGTTAGGGCGTTATATGCAGCCGTAACGGCTTTAAAGACCATTATAATGGGGACGTCATAGAACTCCCTAATGGCATTAAGGGGTTTAACTAAGAGAGAGCAAAAAACAAGTTGCAAGAAAGTAATGAGAATGGACATCAGCTCAAATAGCCTGCCCTTCGGTAGGTCCTTCCTCAGATTTTAAGATGGTTTTAGCTCATCTTGGCACTATACCGTGTTTTCCCGAAAATACACCCTACCCCGAAAATAAGCCCTAGCTGGATTATCGGGGTGGGCTGCAATATAAGCCCTACCACGAAAATAAGACCTAGGCAGGGCCGGCGGCTGCCGGCCCTTTAAATGCCACAGCCGACTGAGCGCTCTATAGAGAGCGCTCAGACGGCTGCCGCACTGCCTCACCTCCCCTTCCCTGTAGCGTGGCCGAGCTCCTCTCCGGTCCGCGACCCGGCCGGACTGACAGGAAGTGCACACTGGGTGTGTACTTCCTGTCAGTCCGGCTAGGTCACAGACCGGAGAGGAGCTCGGCCAGAGTACAGGGAAGAGCAGGTGAGGAGAAGATTGGAGGGGGGGGGGAGTATTACAGGGAGGAGAATATTACAGGGCGGGAGGAAATGTTACAGGGAGGGGGAAGAGTATTACAGGGAGGGAGGGAAGGGGAGAATATTACAGGGGAGGGGAGGGAGGAGGTATTACAGGGGAGGGAGAATATTACAGGGAGGGAGGGAGAATATTACAGGGAGGGAGAGTATTACAGGGAGGGAGGGGGGAGAATATTACAGGGAGGGAGGGAGAGTATTACAGGGAGGGAGGGGAGAGTATTACAGGGAGGGAGGGGGGAGAATATTACAGGGAGAGAGGGGGGAGAGTATTACAGGGAGGGGGATAATATTACAGGGAGGGAGGGGGGATAATATTACAGGGAGGGGGAGGTGAGGGTCTCTGGGGGGGGTTACACAGCGCGGACACCGGCTGACAGACTGGCTCTAAGCCCTACCCTGAAAATAAGCCCTAGTGTTTTTTTTTGTGACTAAAATTAATATAAGACCCGGTCTTATTTTCGGAGAAACACGGTAGTATCCCTTTAGCAATATATATTTTTCCTGGCTAATCATGGCAGCATATACACATGGGTTAGTCCCTCCCCTTACAGCCGATAGGACAGGAATAAAACAAAACCTTTAAAAGGAGTATCCCTGCATAGGTCCCTCAGTCTTTTCCTGTCCTACTCATGGACATGTAGGTTTTTTCTCTTCATTACTTCTGAAATAAAAGGGAATCATGACATGTCACACATGTCATGTGTCATAAGGGGTTAAACTGTGGTGCATTATGCAGCTGTTCCTTAAGCTGTAATATCTTTAAACTGTGGTGCATTATGCAGCTGTGCCTTTACTGCCTTATGCTGTGATGCCTTTAACTTTGGTTATTTTTTTGCACCTTGTTGCCTTTTTATCACCTTGCAGGCACTTTTACTTTATGCTTCCCCTTGGTCCCAGACATTTATTCCTGATTCCCCGGGTGTTCAGGAGCTATGTATGCTGCAGACCGAGCTCTCTTCCCGGTCTCTAGCCAGCAAATGCACTTGGAAGACGCCTGCGCATGTGCAGTTTGTGCCTTAAAGGCCCAAAATGATGATTTGCATTATGGGAATACAGATTGCGGCAGCAATCTTGGATTAGGGCAATTGCCAGTAAG